GTTTCATTCAGTCTCAATCTCTCTTTTCAGGGCGACGCCAAAATTGTCTGAAAACAGGTCCACAAATGTTACTCAACGCACGCCTCGGAAGGCAGCTGCATTTGACCAAGCCGCTGGTCTCCGGTCGAATAAAACCTCAACTACATTGATCAAAAATCGGTCCGATCGTAAACGTCATAGCAAACCATCAAACAAAAGTTCCGTCAAGTTTTCAAAAGTACACTCAAGTGAATCATTGTCTTTGAGAGGCAGTGGAGAATTCGTGACACCAGCGGAAGAGTTTTGTAATCAACGAACGCGATCTTTTTCCCACTGCTCGATATCCGGTTATCAACACGGTTTGGTCGTGGGCAGTCCGAATTCCCAACAGTTTATCGAACAGAATATGCAGGCTAATGCAGCCCCGGATGTGGGATGGACATCCTTTTCCAGTTCAGCTATTCAGCCTAAACAACGTCCCTCTAATACACCTGGTAAGTACTTATTACCACTTCGGAACGGTGAGGCAACTCAAAACGAATTCTGTTTCCTTGGTATCACTCGATGTGGTAGCTGGTTACACTTGATGTAGAGAGTAACCGAGGTCTTATCCTTATCGCTGTGTAGTGGAGTGTTTCAACTTGAACACAGCTTGAATGAGATTTGTAATGATCAGGGTAAACTTCACTTTTTAAAACAGATTACTGTCAGTTGTAACAACCCCTTCGCTCCCACTTGATGAAGCCGATTTTCAATGAGCACGCTGAGCTTTGCGGGGTCCAACCACATGTTTGTTCAGTGAAATTTATGCCTTATGATTAGTACGTGCCAGGTGCTTTATGGAAGCCGATGACTGTTCAGCTGATTCAAACTGACTTATCAGCTGATTGGTCAGACCGAGTTTCCACAAACCGCGCTAGGTGATTGGTGGATACGTGCTCCGGAGAGTAAGAGCGTGAAACTGTTAACGCAAGGGGCACGTGAGATGAGGAGTTCATACAAGGACGAAAGAAGGGTATGTGAACTAAATATACTACTCATGAGGCTGCTGTAAACTTTTCGACGGTACACCATCGGTTTCGTCCTTCTTGGAACTCATCGGACAGGAGGACGCGGAGTTTCCAGCAACCGTATGTTCTACTTGAAAACCATATTGTACACATGTATATATTTGTGATGTACTACT